TCCATAACCCAGATAAATCGACGATAATAAGTAAAGTGTACTTAACTAAGGAATTTCATTGCCTATAAATTGAAGCACATAAATAAAATAAGTTAACTCGCTAAAAGTGACTAACTTGTAACCACAGTAAAATACGTTATTTTATTTACTTATTAATCAATCAAGTTACAGGTCAAGCCCTAATAATACATAATAGAGAAATAAAAGTAATGTATAGATATTATTCACAAACAGTTTAATCAATTATCCAAACTTAATATGAGAAAAATGGGCATAGTTAAAAATGCCGACATAAAAGTGCTAGTTTTATTTGACAGAATTATGATGAGCGTATAAAAATGCAATAGAGTAATAATAGTAACGGAGATAGATGCTTCTTTATCATAAATAGAAATTGATTAAGAAGTAATGTAAAATGTACCCCTTTTTTTGGTAGCATATAGTAACAACGCAATGAACTTTTAATCTTCTGTCCAAACAGTAAGAAATTTGTAACAGTTATTTATTTCGTAGGCATGTGAAACCTAAAATTTATTTCTACCTTTTCAAAAAGTATTGTATTTTTAATAATGTCCGTGTTTTTAAATCGCAAGTTTCAGTGATAAAATTCTTGTAAAAAAGTCATGCACCTTTGGCACAAAAAAGGAAAAACTAGCTGTGATTTTGAATTATCTCAAATGAAAATTAAAATTTCCCAACGAAAGATGCTTGTCAATTTATTCACAACGGTTTTATAACTAAAACTTCTTACGTTCCTGTATGCGATGAATAAGTGGTTTTTTTCTTTTGTGATATGAGAAATAGTGTATATCATCTATGTCATCTTCTGGTTTTCTTTAAATAACAGAATGCAATTAATTGACTCTGCATTATGTATACGTATACAAAGTACATATTATGTCATCTTTTGGTACAAAATAACTACAAATTGTAGTTAATTAGTTACCTAATAACTTTATAAAAGCTTAAAATTCTGAATAATTATTATACATCAAGGTTATTAATAATGCGGACATAGGAGAATTAAACCACAGAAACTGTTTGTTAATATTACTATGTATAATTACTAGAAAAACTTTAATTGCGTGCAATTTTTTTAAAAATAACAATAAGGTAGTTCTAAAATGTTATAGTGCAATTAGTTAGTTTCTTAATTTCGTTCGTTTAATGTTTAAAAATTCAACTTGTCCGTTTGGTCGAATTTTATTATACCCAAAAATGCATAAATATATATATATATATGTTTGCGAGTAGTGATCAGGCGATGGAACTTGCACGAAGCAAAAACCCAGATAAATTGAATTCTGTAAAACGGGGATGAAACTAAGCACGCGATTGGTTACAGCGTCGCAGACATCGAATTTAACGCATGTGATTGGCGTTTGTCTACGTCATCAGTGCTTCATGTGGTAGCAATCGCAATTTCACGACAAGCCTGAGAGGCGTTTGGCACATCATAAGTTCATAAAGTCTCGAGGTGAAAGGACGTTTTTTCGCATCTCTTAAATTCAACTTATCGAGCTAATTTTTTCGCAAAATTAGTTTTAATTTGTTCTTCGTCTGAAAGGTTAGTTTGATTGATTCATATTCAATAATTATTCTTCGTATTTGCTCACAGCATAAATTAAATTGACAAAATTTTTAAAGATTAAATCTTGAAACAGACATCAGGTGGCTACGTCGCCATTTTTAATGTTTTGCTATTTTATTCGTTTTTGACTGGTTTTTTATTACGTGTTTTTGTTTTATTTCGTGTTTCATTTATTTAATACGAGTGTTTAATTCTTTTTTTTTTCTATTTTCCGCATATATTTTGA